GGTCAGGAGAGGTCTGCCGCGCCATGTGGGTCACTCCCTGGGCTGGAATTGAACTGAACTCAGACTGCAGTGGCTGTGGATAATAGCTTCGTAGTGCTGTGCTTTAACCCACTGCACCATCCAGGAGGGCCCGTGGGCACACACATTTGCACAAAAAAGTTCTTTCTGATTCGGTCTCCTCTTAGCAAGCTGTTCAGAACCTGCAACCACAGACTCGGGGTAGAGCTACTTCCAAGAGCCTGAGATAAGCAGTTCCCACAACACACCCAGCACACTCAGATTTCTTTTTCTTTGTCTATAACAGACCAAGGACTTGGCAGGGTGTAGTGCCCAAAAGATGCATGAAGTATGTGGGGGCTGGCTGGCAGAAAACCTGGATGAATCTATCTCACTTTAACTCAACTTGAATTAAATCTGAAATCAAATTTGAAAATATGAATTCACACAAAGGGTGAATTTGAAGAGGATTCCTTTTATAAAAATGTTTTGCCATTTGATTCTTTTGCCCGACAAACTCTCTCTTTAAAGGGGGAATTGGTTTGGGGGAAAAAAAACTGTCACAGTTAGAACTTTTTAGTTATACCATAGTGTTGGCCCCTGAGAGTTGAGTTTGGACAAAGCCATTATGGAAGCCCTCACCGGCCCCCGACTCTGGATGAAGCTGTGGTTATCAGGTCCTCTCTCCAGCTGCCCTTGGGTGGAGAACCTAGGCTTACAGTTACAGGGAAGCTGTAGTGTTTGAAAGTTGTTGGTTTATCCTAAGCTCCACATTCCTTTCTCTTTTTAGGTAAATTCTGAATTCTACACTGGCTGGTTAGACCACTGGGGTCAGCCTCACTCTACAGTGAAGACTGAAAACGTGGTGTCCTCGCTCTATAACATGCTTGTCCTTGGAGCAAGCGTGAACTTGTGAGTTAAATCTGGAGGAGAGGGCGCCCTCCACACCTGTGGGCTCACAGTGAAGTGTTACCTGTTCTTTTGTTTCCCTGTAGGTACATGTTCATAGGTGGGACCAATTTTGCCTATTGGAACGGTAAGAGCAATTTAACATCTGTTTATAGAAGCTTATGCCAGAAAATTCTGGTGCTTGATTTTGGCAAGGCGCGCCTACAGAAAATTTTGATTTTCTATTTTTGTCTTCTCCTAAATTTTCGACTATGTAAGAGTCATCTCTATAATTTAAAAGAAATTATTTGTATTTTAAAAAAATTGTAGAGAACATAACTTGTGCATTTAGAAACTTCATTGTCTTAAACCAGACTAACTGGGTGAGGCTCAGTTACAGCCTCAAGCTATTGCTTATTTGTTCATATACTATGATGTAATCTTTTTTTTAACATTTTGCTTTGTTGAGCTATATTACACACTATAAAATTCATGATTTTAAAGTATGATTCAGGGGTATTTGCTATATCAGCATCTAATTCCAGAACATCCTCATTATCCCAAGAAGAAATCACGTACCCAAGCAACTCCCCACTCGCTCTCCTCCCAGGATTTCACAACTGCTATTCTCTTTCTCTGTGGATTTGCCCATTCCGGATATTCTGTATAAACAGATACCATACAATATGGACTGTCCTTTATGTTTGATTTCTGTCATATAGCATAATCTTCTCAAGGTTCATCTGTGTTATAGCATGTATCATTCCTTCATTCCTTTTCATTGCTGAATAATATTCTATCATGTGGATGTTCATCGTGTTGTTTATCCATTCATCAGTTGTTAGACATTGGGTTGCTTCCACTTTGAGGTGGTCATGAATAATGAATGAGCATTGATGCATACCTCTCTGTTTGAATCCCTTGTTCAATTATTTGGGGCTTGTACTTAAGAATGGAGTTGCCAGGTCACGTGGTAGAGCTTGAGAAACTGCCACAGCGCTTCCAAAGCGATGCATCGTTTTACATTTTTGTGTGGTCTTTTTGGTAGGAAAATTCATGACAAAATTCTCTTCATTGCCGTTAATCTTGCAAAAACAGATCATTCTATATTGTTTTTCTCGAAGCCTCATTCCTCACCTCTTTTCACATCTGCGCTTTATTCTCTGAATCAGTGAGGATGCTCTCATGCCTCTGATGAGTTTGGAGACTTAGTTTGGGCCCTACTTGTCAGCGTTTACAATCAGATACTGTCAACTCTTAATCAAGTTTCTCCTTTGAGCTGCTATCTTTTCTGTGGATTGGGATGGACTAGGAGAAGACTTTGCGAGCTATTATTACTGTTATAACTGTGACTAGAGCTAAGCCATGGAGATATTGCAGATGTCGGCTGTCACTGTCAAGTTTTACTTATTGAAGTTTTAGATCATTTCTGTGTATCTGTCTTCTCCTTAAAAACAGTTAAGACTGATGGGATTCCACCAGGCTGCCCTGCATGCCATTGAGACAAAACATCCAATCCAGAAATAAAGACTTACAGTTTGGAGAACTTTACAGCTCATGAAACAATCAATGTAGATTCTGGTCAGAGGACTAATGAGAAAGAGGCTCTGGAGCAATGGCCTGACCCTCAGCCTAACACTGTCCACTCACCTTCAGCCTAACTCTGTCCACACCAACACTGGTAGGATCCCCCACAGGGCTTCATCATTCCTGAGCTGTGTCAGAGGGATTTGCTACAAAATCTTAGGTGAACTATCAAATTTTGTGCCTTGCTTATTTAAAAAGTAGGTTAGTTATGAGATTGCCCTAAGATAACTCTCTGCTCACTCATACATTTGCATTGCAAAATGCTCTCTGGAGTAGGAGGGCGGGGGTGGCCCTGAGCCCTGTGGTCCTCAGACTGCAGCGTCAGCTCCCCGGAATCTGTCAGAAATGTAGTTTCACAGACTGGCTGAGTCAGTGTCTGAGTGGGACTTAGGAGTCTGAGTTTTAATAAGCATCGTGACTCTCCTGCATGGCTAAGTTCTCCAAAAACTGGTGTGGGCATAGAGTCCCCGCCTAATATTGCACATAACCTGTCTGTGACCATCACCTGGGACAAGGTTGGACACCTCTGGCCTAGCTTCTGCCCCTTGGATAATAATTTCCCAGCCATTTGCTTTTGTAGTCTTCTGGTTCCATAGTATTGGCATTATTTAATGGTCTTGTGGACACGACATCCCCCTGGAACAGACGCTGGGATATCCAGCAGGGAGTTTATCCTAGGACCAGCACCTATGAGAGACTGGGGAGCGGGACTGGGTAGATGGAGAACATGGACTATGAGGCAATTTCAGAATTGACTGGGGTCATTCGAGAGGTGACTTGTACTGGGGTACTCCTTTCAGGCCAGGGGACCAGATTTTCTATCTCTACACTGGTCAGTCATTGAAATGACCTTTCCCAGCGGGGTCTTATCCTTGGGGTAAAGCATTACAGCTGAGACCAGTTTGCTGAGAGGGATCTGTGGGACCCCTTGGCCTCAGCAGCCAGGCTGTGAAGCTGGGAATGAAGGAGCTGGGTTCTGAAAGGGGATGGAGAGACACAGCATCCCTGCCTTGGTGGCTGGCATTCCCAACGCCTTAAGGTTATCTGGAATCTCTGCTGGCCATCCTGTGTTGAGATCATCTCCCATTTTGTTTGGCCCCATAGCCCCACAGCTGTCTTTGGCTGCGATCCTGAGAAGATTGCGGACAGCAGGACGGACCGTCAGAGGCGCTCAGGCCCTAAGTCCTGCCATCACTGGGTAGTGGCCGGGAGCAGGTCTAGTTAGCTTCAGATTTCCTGCTCCTCTGGTGATGGTGACACCTGCAGTAGTCGTAGCTAAGTTTCCATTAGCCAGTGGATGGGGAACATGCTTGGGAGACACAAAGGACCTTGCCTGCAGGAGGAAATCTGGCATCCTGAGAGCCCACTTTGTTGCTGGTCTAATGTGTCCTTTATTTTCTCCCTCCACAGTGCTGAGCCCACAAACCCCAAAGAGGTCCCAGGGCTGAGCCTTTGGTAGTCATTAGTGGGGTGTTTTTTGTTTTCCAGGGGCCAACACACCCTACCAAGCGCAGCCTACCAGCTACGACTATGACGCCCCCCTGACTGAGGCAGGGGACCTCACTGAGAAGTATTTTGCTGTGCGAAATGTTATTAAGAAGGTGGGTCTTGCCTAGGCTGGGGAGGGCTGGTGTTGGACGAGCCTGCCGGAGCCTCTCTATGCTCCGTAGACAACTCCCTAGAGGCTTTATTCAAGACTGGTTAGAAGACATGCAGATGGACAGCTAGAGCCTTGGCCCCCCTCTTATTAAGGGTGAGTCTGCACAGAGGTCACCTCCTGGTCTACTCATTTGTAGAACCAGCCACACTGCACCTGGGTGTCTCATAAATATTAAGAAGAACAATTAGAAGCATCCTGTACGGTCCTGACTGTACATGTTGTCCAATAATGGTGCTGTGAGTGTCATATAAATGAAAGATGAGAATAGCTGAAGGATCCAGAAGTGAACAGTCAGCATTGCTTCAGCTCTCTACTGGGGACAAGTGATTGCTGTTCCCCCCGGCCTGCCCCTACCTGAACTGCTTAGTCCTGCTAATGTGACCTTTTGAGGCGGCTCAGGGACCCAGGTGGGGTTTCCTGTCTCTGCTGTGGGTTTTTTTAAAGAAACCCACAGTTTTTTTGCTCCGTCACCTGAGTTTTGAAGTTAAAAAACAAAGGTTTTCTGCATATTTTTTTTCTTTTGTTTTAAAATATATTGAGGTTCAATTTAAGTCTAGGTGTTAAATTAGATCGAAAATATTTTATACAGAAAAATATGATCTTTACTTAGATACCCTTAGAATTTCTCCACTTCACCAAAATTTGAGATGTATGATTAAAACGTTACTTACATTATTTTTTACTATGGTTTGACATCTGCTTAATTTATAGTGATGACTCCCCAGCTTTTATGTTTGTTTTTTGTTTACATTCCTACCTTTATTATTTTCTTCCTTTGAAGCTTTTGAAGCTTGCCTTCTATATTCACGACTGTATTTTGCGTTCAAGCATTGCTATAAATCTAGCTCATAAATTTTGACATGTAATATATTTGCTCCTACACATACTTATTTTGATTTTTCTTTGACCTTTGAATTATTTAAAAGTGTGTTTTTCAATGATTAAGCATAAGTATTTTTCTAGCTTGTTGATGTATATTATATAATAAGACCTCAATATTGTCAGTGGGTTCCTAGAAACCCTTGACTTTAAGCAAAACAACATAGAATGAAATCATTGTGACTGCAGGCTAACTGATGCACACAAGAGTTGAGGTCCTACAGAGCATATTTATGGCCACATAAATAGCACTAAACCTCTAATCAGAGACCCCAAATCTTTCAGTATTAAGCAATCTTTTATGCTCATTTATTCATTCATTTTCCAGTCTGCTTATTTCAGCTGCTATTCAGGCAGCTTGGGGTACACATTGGGATCCTACCCAGGACAATACACCCTTCCATCATGGGGTACACTACATACACACCCACACTTATGAATTCATGCCAATTAAAGTAGCCTGCACATCTTTGGTCTGTGGGAAGAAACCAAAGAAAACCCACATAGACATGGAGAGAATGTGCAAACTCCACAGAGTGGCCCTAACATAGAGCTGATTTTTTTCCCCTCATCATTGTTATAGCAAAATGGCATTGAAAGGAAAGATGCTATTCAGTGACCCACCATATTTGCATTCTAGCTACAGAATGTAGTCTATCTGACCCCAACCCCATGAAACTTGTTGAGCCTAGTTTTAAAAGCTGACACACACCAACATTAATATTCCATGTATTCTGAAAAGGTTATACATTTTATAATTGTGGAAATAATCGGTACATATATCCATTAAGTTTATAGATGATTTTTTATTAAACCTTATTTTCTTACAAACCTTATTTTCTTACATCATTGTTCATTTTTGTACAATATTTGATTTCTCTGCTCAGGTGTAGACCCCATAAATCCGTCACCACACCACCAACCATGAACCATCACCACAGTCCCTTGTGCTCTTCCCTTTCCTATTTTGATCCGTCTTCCTCCTTCTCCCCTGCTGTGTACCTCAGATCTATAGTTTGCCTGCAAGTTTTGTCTGTTTTTTTTTTTGACCCTTTGTTTGGTTTCCCTATATTCCTCCTATAAGTGAAACTATCAATTTTCTTTTTCCTTCTGACTTACTTCACTGAGCATAATCCCTTCTAGCTCCATCCATGTTGCTGCAAGTGGCATGAGTTTGTCATTTTTAATGGCTGAGTAGTATTCCATGTAGATACACTACATCTTCTTGATCCATTCATCTGTTTTTTGGCATTTAGACTGTTTCCATATCTTAACTATTGTAAATAGTATTGCAGTAAACATAGGAGTGCAAGTTTCCTTAGAATGAATGTTCTTGTGGCCTTGGAGTGGAATTGTTAGCTCCACTTGTAGTCTGAGGAACCTCCACGCAGCTTTCCCTAGTGGTAGGGCCAGTTTGCATTCCCACCGGCACCCTTTTTCTGCACATCCTCTCCATAAGTTTATCAACTAGATGTTGTTGATATCTGCTATCCTCCTGAGTTGTTTTGTTTTTACCAGTTTATTCTTTCCTTTTCTGAGAGGGTTGTGTTTATTGTTTTTCTTTGTAGTTTTGTCAGGTTTTGGCCATGTTATTGGGTATGCAAATTGAGAATTAAATCCTCTATTTCATTTTGTGGTAACCTATCATTCACAGTGGTTTTTTGCCTTCAAGTAATTGCTGTCTGTTGTTAATATTGTTTGCTTTTGCGTAGCACTGTCTGATAGATCTTTTACAACACTTATAAATGTGTGTGTGTGTGTGTATATATATATATATATGTATATATGTTTCATGTGGCCCTTGTGAATAGGATATAGCTGGATTTTTTTACCTGTTTGTCTTTTAACTGGTGATTTTTTTATGCTTATTCATTTTAACCCCTGAAACAATAATTTCAACCATCGTATCTTATAATCTATGTGCCTACCTTTTCTTTTTTCTGTTTTTTTTCCCCCTTTACTACTTTCTTTTGAATGGTTTGAGTTATTTTTCCCTTATCTCTCCACTCACTATTTGGACATTATTTACTATATTTTTCTGACGCTGCTGTGCTCTCTAATATGTACACATTCTCCTTTCATTTATTTAAGCATACCAAGATGCGTCTGGTCCATATCTGTATTGGATAACTTCAGCACCCAAAAATTTTCAGTCGAATAATGCTCTGTGTTTCCGTGAGCTCTAGTTCATGAGACGGGTTTTTTTTTGTGTTGGTTATGAATTTGGCTGCATACTCATTTTCTTAAATCTTTATCTGTATAAGGATTGTTTGAGGTTTGAGGTGAGAGGTGGTTAAAACACCAAACATTTGTTATCTCACACAGTTTAGGGTAAAGAATCTAGAGGTGACTTAATTGGATGTTCTATCTCGTGAACTAGAGTTGCAATTAAGCCACTGGTCAAACTACAGACCCCAAAGACTTGACTGGGGATGAAGGATCAATTTCTCATAGTACTTGCTTAGATGATAGCAGGTCATTTCAGTTCCTGGACATTATGGAGTTGTTCAGCAGGCTGCTCCTCAGAGTGAACAATGAGAGAGAGAAAAAGAGAGAGAAACAACCTTGAAGATGGAGGTTATTACCTGAACTCGTCATTTCTGCTATATTCTTTTCACTAGGAGGAAATTCACTAGAAGCAGATCATATTCAGAACAATTAAGTTTCACTTATTGAGGGAAGCAGTAGCAGAGAATGGCTGATGGGTTAAAAAACCACCACATCCCCTTACACTTAGGGCCCAGCTATAACAGTAAATAATCACAGACAGGATTTGGTTATGTCACTAACCAAGTAAACATAGATTTAGTTATTTCCTTTTTTGGTGTTTATTGTTAGAGATGGTACAGACTCCTATGTGACTTTGATACTCACTAGAGTTGGAGAACCCTTGACTTGGACTGGGGAAAGGAATCGCAGGGAAAAAACTGCTTTGCAATTAGCCTCACTCAATTCTCCTTTCTGTCCTTGTTATATGAGCTATAAAATGAATAGTTCTAAAAGAAAAACACTGATGAGTTCCATTATTGTGGCATTTTTCAGTGTCCAGGGTTCTTTTTTCTGTAAAAAAACAATCTTGACTTCGTATGTAGCTAAATGTGTGACTTCTCTCCTTTATGGCCATTTTCCCTCTCTAGTCATATACACAAACTCCCTTAGAATGCTTATGCTTCTGTGCTTTCATCTAAGAATTTTTTAATTAATTTTTTTACATCAATTTCATACATTTGCTCTCTACCTCAGGCGTGGCCCCCAGATCTCTCCCACCACCACAGCACCCCTGGCCCATCACCACAGTCCCTTGCACTCTCCTCTCCTCTCTTTGACCCCTCTTCTCCCCCGTCCCTGCGGAGTGCCTCAGCTCTATGGTCAGTTTCCAAGTTTTATGTTTTTCCTGATCTTTTGTTCACTTTCCCTATAGTACACATACAAGTGAAACCATTTGCTTTTTTTCTCTTTCCTTCTGGCTTATTTCACTGAGCATGATCCCTTCTAGCTCCATCCATGCTGCTGTGAATGGCAGAGGTTTTATCTTTTTTGGTCGCTGAATAGTATTCCATTGTGTAGATATACCACATGCTTTTGATCCAGTCATCAGTTTGGGGGCATTTAGGTTTTTTCCACATCTTAACTATTCTAGAGAGAAGCACGAGATTTTGAAATGGCAGTGTGGACTGACTGAAACAGGGATTTATACTTCCAATCTCAAGTGAAACTACCTCCCTTCAGGACTCTCCCAGCATGCTGTTCATCTCTTCCTACCGTCTGGTATAAGCATCCTCCTCTATACTTCCTCCTTGATCTACAGGTGACATGGTGTCCTGTTCACTGAGAATCTTAATGCTGTCGAATGAGCCTGGGCAAGGAGCTTGGGGTATAGATCATGGGGTGCCTTTCAAGTACTGTCAGGCAGAAAGTGATAGAGTTAAACATTTCAAAAAGGTTATTGGGTGTCGCACCACATATAAAGCTAAACAAATAAAGGTATTTTAAGTATACAATATTTCAATATTAAAATAGTCACAAACATCATAAAAGTTCAAGGGTTGTTTTGGATTTATT